AAAGAGGCCAAGTTCCATAAAGATGATGCCCGCCGAGGCGAAGGCAAAGCGGAGGTCGCGGAAAATGGTGACGTCGGGCCAGACCGACGTGACGTGGTGGTGCGACGACGGGGGAGGGAGGCGCGTGCGCAAAAAGAGGTTGGCGGGGATGGCGAGCCCGAGCATGATGAAGGCGAGGATCCGGCAGGTCCACGGGAAGCCCCGGTTCGGGAGGAGGGACTGCATGATTATGGGGAAGATGATGCCACCCACGCCGCCCGAGGTCGTGGCGATGCCGGTGGCGAGGCCCCGGCGCTTGTTGAAGTAGTGCGCGATGCAGCCGTAGGCCGGGGGGTTGAGGAGCGCCCCCCCGAGGCCCCCGAGGACCGAGTAGGTGAGGATGATCTGGTAGTACGTGGTGCACCAGCTGAGAATGAGAAGGCTCAAGGCGACGAGTAGGCTGCCGACGGCAACGAGGATGCGCGGGCCGTATGCGTCGAAGATTGGGCCGACTTGGATGCCGACGAAGAAGACAATGAAGAGGTAGAGGCTGAAGATCCAGCCAATCTCGGATGAGTTGTGGTGGGCGAGCTGGTTGGTAGAAAAGTACGACTCGAATACAGCGGCTGAGTTGATGAGACCAAAGACCGAGACCATGGCGCAAAAGGAGCCAAACACGACCAGCCAGCCCTCGAGGCCGCCTTCGGGGAAGTCGAGGACGGAGGCGGCCGAGACGGCGCGGTCGACGGGGGGGCCGTATTCCGCGTCGCCGATCCGGGACGCCATCGATTCTCGGGAAGGGGGGATAGTGGACTCGCGGTCCGAGTGGGGAGCCGATGTGGTGTCGGGGCCGGATCCATCCTTTTCGAGCTTTTCGAGGACGGCCGAGTCACGCGGTGTGTTCATGACGGAGGAGCCCTCAGAACAATCTTGGTTTTTTAGGCAGCTGTCCTCTGCATGGTTGGGGCAAGCCGGCATATATATGGCGTGCTTCTATTGTCTTGCTTGTGGCGGTGACGTTACTGTGAGGCCGGGTGTGTGAGAGTCAAGTGGGCGAGATAATGGGGAGTCGGGGATGAAGGTGGCGGCTGTTTCTAGATGTAGATATTGCCGGGCTCCGCTTTGGCTTTCCTCAAACCGTCATCCACAACGTCATGAAAACCGTAGCCAGCAACAACAGCGTGTGTGACTTTGATGTCCAGTTCAGCCGTGGCTCTTGGAAACATGTCGAGCGGGAGAAGATGGAGGCGACTCCAAGAGGAAAAAGTTTTTCCACTTCCCCCTCCACGTGGGCTCCACATCCTGCTTCTGCCCATGCGGTTTCTGGCGTCTGGACTGGCGCGCATCCATCGACGGGCCATCATCCGAGCGGCGAGACACAGCATTGGCAAGTCCTGCCAGCAACGAACGCTTGGACGGGAGGGGGTAAGCGCTAGTCTGGTGACGGTTTCCACCCGGCTCGTCCATCGCCAAGCTCCCGGCTGGCATCATCGCGGTGTGGACCTTGTGTGCCGGCCGAAACGGCACGGAGGGGAAGGGGCTCCGGTGAGAACCCTCCCTCACCGACCCGCGAGCCGGCAGAGTCGCTCGATCCGGCTTACCACGACTGTCGCTTTCCGTCTCGGGCATATCCCTCGCTTCTCTGATATGGATAAAGCTTTCTCTCTCCAATCCCGCTCTCCCCTAGCGTTTGAACAGTGCACTCAGCATTTTCATCGCTGCAAACAGCGGCATCGAAATGGCGTGCCCCGCATGCCGATGGAGGGGTGAGCCGAGCCGAGGTCAAGCATCCATCCCGATTCTCGGAGCGTTGCCTTCAAACGGCCGGAAAGAATTCCCATGAAGTTGATTGAGGCCATCTTTAAGAGACAGAGACCCCGAACTGTTTTGCTCCAAGTGAAGCGCGGCAGGCAGCTCGATCGCCGGTCGGGAAAACACACTCCGGCCCCGGCCCCGGCCCCGGGACAAATCTGCCCGAGTTGATCCCGCCTCAGATGTGTTGGCAGACGCCTATGACAATGAACCCAACAAATGACGTGCAACCTCCCTGACAATTGAATGAGCTTTTACTGTTCATCATCTCCATTCGATGCAGAGGAAGGGTGATGGCCCGTCGCTGTCAAAGCCACCGTGGCTTGCTCTTTTCCATCCAGGCCTTCGTTTCTCTTGTCGGGTTAGGGGCACTTCCAGGTACAAATGAAGACTTACATGGTTGTCGTGGGAGATCAGAGTGCACAGCCAGGGTTTACGTTCTGCCAACCTCAAACACGCCCAAAGTGAATTCCATCCCTATTGTATATCTTGAAAGAAGATGCCGTGTTGCTGAAAGCTGCAAGAAGAAGAAGTGAAGAACAAAACCAAAAACGCCCTTCCATCCGTATATGTCCAGTGGAAGCAAGCGTTCCCCGACCTAGCCAGACCCCGACCAAAACCACCAACCTTGCCAGGCTGTCCTCTGTATCCTTTTCTTTACCGACCCGATCTGTCAACCGAGCCAACCCACACCGCCGTTCTTGAAGCCCATGACCCCCCCCCCCCCCCCCCAACCTCAACCCAAAACCCCCGTCCGCTGCTGCGCCACCAGCACCGGCGTCGACACACCCGGACATCCCTGTCCCTTATTCCCGCTCAGGCTCTGCATGACCTGGATCATGGCCGTCGCCCTGTCCCTGTTGGTCGCGACGGACCGGTCGGCCGCGTCGTTAAACCGCCGCAGGTCGATGGGCGCCGCGACGCTCGGGTCCGGGAAGAAGCCCTGCGTCAGCAGCGACGCGAGCCCGCCGAGGAAGCGCGGGTCGTTGGGCGCCGGCGGGCAGTCGCACGGGATCGGCGCGTTGTTGGCGCCCGTGCAGCCGCCGCCAGCCGTGCGCGTGGCGCCGGCCGTGACGCCGAACGACGCGGGGATCACGGCGCTGTTGATCTGCGAGGCGTCGCCGGTGCCGCCGGGGAATTGGTTGCCTCCGCCACCGCCACCGCCTCCGCCGCCGCCGTTGCCCGGGGGCGGTGGGGGTGGGGGTGGGGGTGGGGCGCCACCGCCGACGGCAGGTGGGGCGGGAGGGGCCGGTCTGTTGCGGTTGCCGCCGCGGGCGGGTCCTCCGTTGCCAGCCGGACGACGCTCTCGGGGAGCGGCCGAGGCGGACGTGGTGAGGAGGGCAATGAAGAGGAGGGTTGCTGAGAAACGCATCTTGATTGTGTCGTCGGACAAGTGGAAGGACTGGCCTTGGTAATGAAAGTGTATATACTCGAAAAGAATGGAACGGGCCAGCCGCGATGGAAGAGAGTGTAGCGAAGAGGAGGCGTGTAAGTCGTCGTCTGGTCCCAAAGAGGAATCCGTGATGGGTTCGTCGGAGGCCCGAGGATGGGAATGTGGCTGACTATATGTATGCACATCCCTTTTGCACGACGGTGCACTGCATCGCCCCGGGACTTGCTGTTGCAGTTTGCAGGCCGACTAGGCCAACAACTCCCGACACCATCTTTACCCCTGGGGATATGTCTGGACAAAGGAAGCTAGGGGCCCGGCTGATGGATGGGACGGAAACAAGTTGGGGCCGAGCGTGGAGAATCTCCCGCCTCTGATCTTCATGCCTTCATCCCGACTTCCCCATGGCATCGGACGGGATGGGAGTCGAGGGTGGGAAATGCCAAGAGCTATCATCCCAGAGGCATGTCGTTGAAAGAGCCGTGCAAGGCGCACGGGGAGCCGCCCAACCAGCCACACAGCGTCGAGCTTGCGCCAAGAAGAGTGACGGGCGTCGTTGGCCACGGTTTCAGACGACATCAGAAACGCGTGGGAGCCGTCCTTTTTTTGCCGAGGGGTTCCCCCACGGCCACCGCCGATTGGCGGATGCGGGGGTTCTCGCATATTTTGTCGTCGCTGGGACCCCTGCGTTGAGCCCCTGGGTCGCATTTCGTGCTTCACATCGACGAGGGGGGCTCGGAGCCATAGTTCTCTCCAATCGTGGTGGGCTTGAAGCAGGTCGAGCAGGTCAAAGGCCTACTGGCAAGTCGCAAGGACGAATTTCGAAGCCGAATTGTCTTCTCACTGCTCTTTTGCATGAAAAAAAAGGCTTCTGGCGGTTGAAACGGATCTCCCAACCCCCGTCGGCAATCCGCTGATCCGTCGATCCACCGCTCCCCCGGGGCGGGGCCGGATTCTCATGGCCGCCAAGACATTCCGTCGGTCAACGTCCATGAGATGATGAGGAATCCACTCCTCTCAGGATGAACGATATCATTTTGGCTCGGATTATCCAACCGATCGGATCTTGATGGTGCTCTTTGAAGGAATACGCGCTTCCACTTCCTTGGAACAGCTTGGGATATTGGTAGGACAACTTTACACGCTTGTGATACAGAAAAAGGGGGAAGAAGAAGCTTTCCGCGGGGGTTTTGGGGTTGCTGTGAAACAACAGAGATCCAAGCATTTTCAACCCGTCCCTCCCATTGCTCGCACACCACCAGAGCTAGGGCCCCTTAATCGGGGGCGGAAACATTTATCACCTCATGTTGATAGGGGCTTGAAGCTGAAGAAAAAAAAGAAAATCTGGCAAAATGGCTTCTACCGTTTGCTTGTGGGGGGTCCGATGCTGTTTTCAAGCGCCCGGGTCTTGACAGGACAAGAATCTGGGGGCTCCAACTCACTCAAACGTCCAAATGACTGATTCCGTCCCAAAAAAGGCCCGATGGGCCGAGATATTCATGTTGCCTTCAGGCACGCTGGGAGGCTTTTGCGGGGTTCCAGAGAGAGTCAGGACAGAAGGAAGCATGGAATGTCGGAGAAATGTTGGACAGCCAACCCGGAAGTGCAGAACAGAAATCGCTGTTTGCCGTATAGTACCTATCAGTTCCAGGTTCAGGTGGTCCCGCTCTAATGCTGGCCTTGAATTCCAAGAAAGAACCGGCGTTTAACAACTGCACCTTCCCTCCAACCTCAGCAAACGCACCTAGCATCTTCCAGCAAACAACACACCTGCCATCTATCAGCAACTTCCATCACCACTGTTTTCAACGAAACAAGAACCCCTCTGGTGTATCGGTTAACATAGCGGATTCTCATTCCGCGGCGAAGGGTTCGACTCCCTTGGGGGGTGATTAAGATCTTCTTTTTTTATCTTTTTTGATGCTCTTCTCCTCGGGGAGCGAGACATAGCTTACGTACTAAAACAGATAGAATCTCACGGGCAACCTTCTCCCACTCGACCTATTCATGTTGAGACTGGCGCATCCTTGCAATTTGAAGGCAACAAGACTCTATGTCACAGTACAACTGTACTTCATCTTGACGTTGAACAGGTATCAACGATTGATATCAACTCGCTACAATGTGCACACTCAGATTCCATCTGCCGCCTCTCCAACACAACATTCGGCACTCAGACTAGCCCAGCCCAGTATCCAATTCTAGTCTAGTACATCAACCCCTCCCTACTCGTCATCCTCAAAAGTCGACGACAACGAACCGCCTATCCGGCCCAACGACTGATCGGCGCTGATTAAAAAAGCCCCCGAAGCCGCCCTTGCCCTTGCCACCCTTGCCTTTACCCCTGCCAGTCGAAGCAGCAGCCGTCGTCGCAGCGGGTGCAGCCTCGTTGGCTGCCGTCCCGACCAGTGCCTCGACGGCGGCGACGTTTTGCTCCGCCTCGGTGGGACCGGCGTTCTGGTTGGCCTCGATGGCGGCAGGCAGGTCCTTTTGGTTCTGGGCGACCTGGTCGTCGATCACATCGGCGGTGTCGCCCGTGGCGATGTTTTCGGGCGTGTTGACCTTGGGGGTGATGTCGGTTTGCTGGACGGCGAAGCAGCCTGGTCGCGTCTATCAGTCAGGTCTCGGGGATGGTTGGGTGGTAGAGGGTGCTCACCTCCAAACGGTCCGGCCACGGCATTGTTCCGGCAGCGGATGGTGCAAATGTCTCCGGTCGATGCGCCGGTGCACTGCATGTCCTCGGGCATAGTAACGGTGATGTTGAAGTCCTGGGCCTTGGCCTGCGACAGGCCGTTCGCTCCGGGTATGTTGTTCGTGACCTTTAGGGTCTGGCTGATAATGCCGCCGTTGGACGTCATGTCAATGTCGCAAACGTAAGGCCCGGCGCCGTCGGCGTTGACTTGGTGGATGGTGACGGTCACGTCGCTGCCGGCCTCGACCTGCGTGACCTGGTTGGCGGCGAGGGCATTCTCCGTGTTTGCGCCAATGTCGATGTTGCCGGCGAGCTCGGTGCGGCCGCACTTGTTGACGACGTTGGCGGCGATCTCGGCGTCGCGGATGATGGTGGTATCCATCTGGCATGGGTTGATGGTGGTGCAGTTGCGTGCAATGGCGTCGTTGACCTGGAAGCCGACGCTGAGTGGGGATCCCGACAGTCCCTGTGCCCCTAGTATGACGCCGTGGCCGTGGGCCAGGGCGAAGAGTGCCGCCAGCGGCAGGGCGGAGGATGGAGCGAACATGATGGGATGAGAAAGAGGGAAAAAGGAGGCACGGCCTGTCCTAGAAGAGAAAAAGAACGGGGGGAAGAGAGAGACGAAAGAACGGAAAGGACGGGATGGTGGGATGGAGAGTAGCAAGAATGGACAGCGGCATCAGTTTGGCCTATATACGCTCCCGAGATACATGGTGTTGCGCCAGTATGGGCCGAGATCAGTCTCGAACATCAAGCCCCTGACTCCATCGACCCAAGATTCTGAATCAGACAGCTCAACAGATCCACGACGCCATCGTGGCGGCAACGTGGATTATGACGTCCAGTTTCTATGTAGCCGTGGTTACTTGACGGGAGGGGGTCCACTTTGGTGGAGAAACGACAGACCGAGGACAGGTAGTCCCAGCAAGCATCACACCACCATGAATAGCATTGTTTTCACCACGTCTCGGGTCCGTGGATTCAATGACACTTTTCTCGATTCTCGGGAATCGGGATATAACTACAGCTTGGGAGTGGCGAATCTATGTCAAGCTAGTCTACCTGGCCGAGGAAGATGAAGTCCTGGGGTCTCTTCCGATGCAGGTAGAGGTCGTTTCTCCCAGCAACATGATGAATGCCGTCCCCAAAATTATGTCAGGTCCGGGATTGTTTTCTTCATCCACCAACATCCTGTGGCAAGTCCACCCACATCTCAAGCCTGCCAGACTGCCACAAAGCGCTCAAATCAGCAAGCCTCGGAGGGCACCTCCAGGCTCAGGTTCCGACTAACCGCCCGTGATGGAGTGCCCCTTAATTGCTGTTTCATCAGCATGGCTGTGTATCCTAGGAGCGGATATTGTACTCCAGATATTGTTTGAATAGGCGCCAAGTTCGATAGATTTTGTCCACTTGAGGAATCATGGACCGAAATTCTGAACCGAAGAACATTCAAAGATGCCCGGAGTATTGAGTAGTATAGTGACCCAATGCACGTCAAAAATGGTAGCGGGTCTTGAAAGGCCTTTCAACTTCTGACCAAGTTGTGCCTTGCATCTACGGCTCAAGAGAAGTCAGTCCACCTGTCGAGCCGGGTTGAACACTCCGCTCAACTTACTTGTTTTTCCAATCTCTCTCCGACCACCGCCCCGAAAGGCTCCCCTCAAGCGAGACCAGACATGCAGAGCAGGCCTCCCGCACCTCGAGTCTAGACTGCCTCCACATTGGACTGATCCTGCTCAACATCATTTTCCTCCTCAATCTCGTCAAGGGGTGTGACGGGCATTGTATCGATGCCTTCGAGTGCTCTCGCCTCGACAACCGCCAGAGCGTCTTCGCGCATCCTCTCGAGTCTCGCTACCCGCTCTTCGAGTGTTAGACAACGTCCGAGGGAAAAGGGCCGGAAAGGAGGCCTGGGGATCTCTACAGGGCCGTCTTTTGTGAATATCAAAATACCGTCCTGTGTGTATATGGCCGGGGAGGAGTACGAGGGTGTCAACCTTGCGCCTCTGACTCTGGCCCTAGGCGGCATGGGGAGAGGCCTAGAGATGTTGCAGTAAGACGTGGACTGCGGGATGGTATGTGTCTCCTTGGGTGGAGGAACCAATGTGGTTGTTGAGCCAGACGAAGAGGCGCTGTCGCTGCCGTGGATCGATGGAAGCAATGTATCGATGCTCTTGGTTGTCCATTCGCCGTACGGCATACCAATGCCAGGGTAGGTTGACTTCAGAGACGAGTACACCACTCTGACGTTGCGGGTGCTCGGCTGGGTATCGACGCACGATGCGTTGGCATTGTCGGTGCTGGAACGCGTGTCGGTAGATGAAGAGATGAGCATTGGCGGGGCCAGTGGGGGCTGCTTGTCAACGCCAGTGAACGCCGATGATATGTTGGGGACAAGGTAAAGGGCATTGTGAAGGCGCACTGTGGCTGCTTTGATGCGGGCCATGGACTCCTCGTTGATGAGAATCCGTTCCCGGAGGGCGCTGTCGCTGGTGCTTCTGCCGTCCACGGTGGCCGGGAAGTTCATGCTACTCGCGGGACGAGGAGGGAGGAACTCGAGGACGGTTAGGCGGCGGGCGGCCGCGTGATGGCGGAACATGCCTTCCTCGAGGGCAGGGCATGATGGAAAACAGCCCATCTTATCTGCCGGGTATTGGATTTAGAGGTTGAAAGACATTCGAGGGTAAGGGCGGGTGTCGTTGAGGGTGAGGTTGAAGGCGAGGTGATGGTGGGTTGATGGTGCGAAGATTGGAGGTGTTCAAGTTGGAAGAGCAAAAGGTTGAAAAGATGGTGACAGCTGAGAGTAAAGGAAGGTGCGAACGCGATTGCTCGTCAAGTGCGGCGTAAGAAAGCCAAAGCAAACATGTGGGCAGCAAGAGACGCCGGTAAGATCAAGGTGAATTCTGGACACTCGAGGAAGACAAGATGAATGTGAATTTTGCATGCTGTGCCCGCCGTGCTCGGCTTCGCGTCCCAATGATTTTCATGATTCCAGATACCTCCGAAGGACACAGACTTGTAACAAGATCACCTAACGATGGTACTTGGGGCGAATTTGCGAAACATATTCCAATATCTTGATTAGTACCTGAACCCTTCCCGTGGGATTTATTACGGCGGCCTTCATTACTGAGAACTTGGACGACGACCGGTGACTTGGTACTCCCCGCCCCAACCATCAATTCCTTTTCCTTGGACATTCAAGCAAGACTTGACCTAGACTGAAGAATGGAGCTTGTGCCTCAAAAGGCATTGTGTAGATGGGGAACAAAAGCCGGGGAGTCGCCCAAAGAACCTGTTGATACAACTGTCCCCCTTCTCAACATATCCAGCCAACACAGCATTCAAACCACAGGCGATACAAAATCCTGTATTCAATCCGCTTCAACCAAAACGCTAAACTATCTATCCCTGTATCCTACCAACGACCTCGCTATCCGCTGTCCTTCTTCCCAGACACCCTGGAAACACCACTAGAGAACATTGCAGCATCTCAGTCATTCATCGTAACCTCCCAAACCTCCAGGTATCCTTTCCATCGGAGTCGAAAACGGGCACCCACCACACCCCGCCCCACTAAGCCCCGGTCCCAGGCAGATATCAACACAGCCGGCGACCCATGTCCAATCCTCAGAGCCACGCACTAAGACAGCCCCCAATCACTCGACCCCCCCACGCCTAAGGCAACACCACCCGTGTCCTCTAAACATACGTCCTCGAATGGCTATGCGAGCTCCTCCTGCTCCTGTGCGACCCGCTATGGCTCCTGTGCCTCCCGCTGGCATGCGAGCTCCCCCTGCGCCTGTGCACCACGACCTTCTCCTCGCCCTTGTGCATCAGCGCCATCAGCCCCGTCACGACGAAGAAGACGCAGTTCATGATGCCGAGCGCGAAGCACGCCTTGAGCATGGCGCACGTCTTGTCCACCCCCAGACGCACCGACGTCAGCGTGCCGCCGCCGAACGCGCCCAGGTCGACGTTGACCGACGAGTTGCCCGCCACGACGGCGACGCAGTCCGAGTTGGTGACGAAGCGCAGCTGGTAGACGCCGGCGATGAGGGCGCCGACGAAGGCGAGGTCGACGAGCCCGATGAAGCGCGTGTTGTTGCGGTACGAGAAGACGGTGAAGAGGGCCCAGGCGAGCGCGAGCACCGAGACGATGAAGAGGAGGAGGATGTAGGTCGGCGTGAGCTGGTTGG